TTTAGCAAGAGAAACCAGAAGTACGAAGTGGTTACAATAGCACCTGATAATCAACCATTGAAGGCTGAGGAGAAGCAAGTTGTGCTGTATGCAAATCGAGAGTGCACTTGCGGAAGGTGGCAGACTTTCAGATTTCCTTGTTCCAATGCACTTCGAGTTGCCCGTTAGCTAGGTGACGATCCCTTCCCACTTTTTGATCTATGTTACACTACACATCAATGGTACCAGCAGTTTTCTGGAGAATTCAACCCAATCATGGAACCATGGCCAAAGACAACGTGGCAGATCAGGCCAGATGACACTAAACTTGTCCACCATGCTGGCCGAGGTCGGAAGCGTGTCAATCGAAAAAAAGGTGTGATGGATTATACAAGCAAATCTGGCCAGCGAAGACTCCAAACTTGCAGTTTATGTAAGCTACAAGGCCATAATGCTAGGGTTTGCCCATATGCGAGAGTTTGCGCACGATGTGGAAGTTTAGATCATGATGCTGTGGAACGCCCTTTTTCTCATCCACTTGCTGACAGGACCGCTATTGATAAACTGTACGATCCATATGGAATTCGTGGTGTGCCTAATATCAATTCTGATGATGATGATGATGCGTAGTGATGATTTTCCACATCGTCTGTTGTGATGATTCTGTTAGTGTTCGTATTTTTGTGTTGTTTTGAACATTCATGTAGTAAACCTCTGAGGATGAATCAGTTTGCATTTGTATTTGTGTTAGTGTGTTGGTTTGGATGTTTCTATAATTTATATTCGTAATATTTTTGTAAAAAAAAACGTCGCTATTCATTTTAGTAATATTACTAATTATTACTATAGTGGTAGAGTGATATGATATATACATGTCGAATAAAGCACTAATTATTTGATAAACACTAAAGGGTAAGAAAATTAGTTATTTGTTTATTCATCACCGAAATAAACAGAACCACATATCCGGCGTAAACACTAAACGTTTTTTTTTCAGTTTTAAACTAAATCGCGTTTCTGAAACGCGAAAAAACACAAGGTGAACATTATTTTCGCGTTTCTGAAACGCGAAAATAGGGAGAGCATTATTTTCGCGTTTCTGAAACGCGATTATTGGGATATAGGTAGTTTCGCATTTCTGAAACGCGAAAATGGGTGGTTAAATAAAGTTTTCGCGTTTCGGGTTGATGTTTCTCAAACAGAACCATATATCCGGCGTATTCCATTGAAACCGGCAGTTTTTCCGGGAGGGTTGCCGGAATCGAGTTTCGGCATCAATTTTTTGCATTTTGTAGGCTATATATCGAGGTAAGTTGTGTTTTTTGCTCTCATTGAATCGTTTTTTTTTAATTCATGCATTAATTTTCGATTCCTATAAATTTTGTGTTCGTTTTATTTGTAATTTTATTTCACGATTTAATACTCCGTTAATAGATCTAGTATTATAGGTCTTGTAATTGTGAAATTTTAAAAAAAATTCGGGATTGGGTTGGGTGAAAAAAATTCCGGATTCAATGGTTGGAATGGTGTTGCCGGCGGGGTGGGGGCGGCGGGGGAATGTAGGGGGTTTAGAGGGGGCGCGGCGGGGAATGAAGGGGAGGGGGGCGGGGGAATGAAGGGGAGGGGGTCGGCGGGGGAATGCAGGGGGTTTAGAGGGGGGGCGCGGCGGGGGAATGAAGGGGAGGGGGGCGGCGGAGGAATGCAGGGGGTGTAGAGGGGGGGGGTAGGTTTTGGGTTGGGCTTAGGGTTTGTTGGGGTGTTGGGCTTAGGGGGTTTAGGGTTTGGGGGATTGGGTTGGGTTTAGAATGTGGGTTTTGGGTTGGGGATTGGGTTGGGTTTAGAGGAGTGGGTTTTGGGTTGGGGATTGGGTTGGGTTTAGAGGGTGGGTTTTGGGTTGGGGATTGGGTTGGGTTTAGAGGAGTGGGTTTAGGATAATAAAATTTAGGGTTGGAATTTTTAATGTATAGGATAATTAGATTAGAATAATAATATTAATCCGTATTTACTAAAATGTAGGGTTGGAATTTTTAATGTATAGGATAATAAAAAAGAATAATAATATTAATCCGTATTTACTAAAATGTAGGGTTGGAATTTTTAATGTATAAGATAATAAAAAAGAATAATAATATTAATCCATATTTACTAAAATGTAGGGTTAGAATTTTTAATGTATAAGATAATAAAAAAGAATAATAATATTAATCCGTATTTACTAAAATGTAAGGTTGGAACTTTTAATGTATAGGATAATAAAAAAGAATAATAATATTAATCCGTATTTAATAAAATGTAGGGTTGGAATTTTTAATGTATAAGATAATAAAAAAGAATAATAATATTAATCCGTATTTACTAAAATGTAGGGTTGGAATTTTTAATGTATAAGATAATAAAAAAGAATAATAATATTAATCCGTATTTGCTAAAATGTAAGGTTGGAACTTTTAATGTATAGGATAATAAAAAAGAATAATAATATTAATCCGTATTTACTAAAATGTAGGGTTAGAATAATATATGTATAGAATAATAAAAAAGGATAATTAATATTAATCTGTACTTACTAAAATTATTTTTAAATTGTACTAGTCATGGACATTGGATCATCTTCTTCCTTCCAATCTACCTCAAAGAAGCTACGGCAGGGACCTAGAGATAGTAGTTTGTTGTTTCTCCAAAACGCCCATAGGTCACACAATATATTCCATGGTGCACAGTATGATATAGGGATTTCGGAGCCCAGGCGCGTAGATAGCGCCGCGTGGAAATTAATAAAAGATGCACCGAGGTTGACAAAGGAATATATTGAGAAATTTGGTTTTGGACCGTTCTCTAGAGTTGGGTCCATAAGATGTGACCATGCCCTGCTTACAGCTCTTGTGGAGCGATGGCGCCCAGAGACCCATACATTTCATTTACCTTTTGGGGAGGCTACTACCACACTCCAGGACGTCGAGGTTCTTTTGGGTCTTTGGGTTGATGGACGTCCAGTTACAGGACATCACACCACGCCTGATTGTGGTTGGGCAGCCTATTTGGAGAGGATGTTTGGATTTAGGTTCCAGACAGAGGAGTCTAGATTGACGAGCGTTTCCATCACTGAAATAAAGACTCACATAGAGAATAATCCTTTGATGGACCTGTCCCCTGACGATGCACACCTATAGCGAGCCTGTTGTTTTGTTGGATGGCTCGTTGGTGGATTACTGTTCTCAAACACTACGAGAAACAGTTTTCCTCTCGATCTTGTGAATTTTCTTCATACTCCCGAGATTTGCTCGGAGTACAGTTGGGGTAGTGCGGCACTATGTTACTTGTACCACAGCATGTCCAAGTCATCTCTGGCCGCTTCTGCCAAGGCTATTACCGGCTGTGTGATTCTTCTTCAGGTATTTTATCTTTTCATTTCTCTCTAGTTTCATTTTATATTCTCCCATAATTATTGGTGATTTTAGCTAATGATTTCTTCATTCTGAATTAGCTCTGGGCCTGGGAGCGGATTTCGACGGTTCAGCCCAAGATACTGGGTGGGGAGCTCGATCTATCTCTTTGTCCATTTGGCACGAGGTAATCTTATACATCAAACCTTCGTAAATTTTGACATTTTGATTTGTACTGTCACGTCTCAATTTAATGTTACTTTCTCCGTGCAGGTGGTCCTGTGAGAAAAAAGTTCAAGGTATCACGCGGTTCAATTTGGCCGCGTACTGGGATCAGCTTGCAGTTCTCGCAGAGTCTGATGTTAGTATTCTTTTCAATTAGTATAACTTATGTTTTATTCATTTTTTTTAACGGTGCCGGACTTTTAACTACGCGTCTCTTACTTAATTACCATTGCAGTTTGTATGGATGCCGTACACGACTCTTCTGGGTCTTATTGCCAGGGTTTGTCTTGTGGGACAGGGCATATGGCGATCTCAGACATGGCTCATCTGCGGTGATGTCGTTGCGCCACACAACCCCAGTAGGGTATTTCGCCAATTTGGTTATCACCAGCGGATACCCGACGATGCATTACTTCTCACTGCGGCGGAAATTACTAGCCTGCTCAAGAGGAAGCCATTTGGAGGATCCGATAGGAGATGGTTACAACAACTAGGGATATATCTCCAGGTTTGGAATGATCGCCACGGCCGACTTGTGGGGACTGATGATGATTATGTTGGCGAGCCTTCCGCAGATCCGGAGTATCTCTTGTGGTACCACCAGGTTACTGTGAAGTATGTTACGGATCCGACGGACTCTGAAAATGCGAGGTGTTTTCACGGCTCTGCAGAGACCTTGTGCCTCATGGTGAGTATTTCGCCTACAGTCCATTTGGTTCTTTTTATTAACACTGTTGTCGACTTATGATTCTTTCTAATAAAAATTTCAGGCCACATTGATGGAGGACGTTCGTAGTCTGAGTATTATAGGCCAGCGTACTTTCGACGCGGACTCCTTTGGTTATGATCGTTTAGGCGAGATTGCCCAGGTTGCTGAGCGGGCGTTGTCCGTCAATGCAACAAATGTTGTACGTCACGATCTCGATAGGCATGTTGAGGTTAATGACATTTTGAGTCAAGAACTTGCCCCTGTAGACCCGACCCAGCAACATCCACCACCTGCACCTCCGAGGCGTTCGCGCAGTCTCGGCGTGGGCGTGGGGGCAAGAGACAATCACATCATCTCACCACATCAGTCCTCCCAAAGATGAGCAGTCTCATATTCCCTTCACTGGCGGTTCATCCCATCAGTCTCCACATCAGTCTCCACTCCATTCTCGACAGCATTCAGCCCATCAGTCTCCACATCATTCATCCCATCAGTCTCCACATCATTCTTCGCCGACACAACAGGCGTTTTACCGTCCGATTATGTCTCCCCAGCACCAGCAGTCCCATTTTGCCTTCACTCAGTTTTCCTTCCCTCAGACTTCTCAGCGTCAGTTTGGAGATTCTTTTATTGACTTTTAAGGGTTTCAGCAGAGTTCGCTAGATGGCCAGTCGATACATTACACAAGTAACTTTCTTTCGAGTATGTTCAAGGGTGTTGCGGGTCAGCATCAGGCTGATGACCCAGCTGAGGGTGAGCGTGAGAGTCAGGGTGAAGATGAGGCTGAGGATGAGGCTGAGGATGCAGACCAGGATGATCAGTTTGAGGGTCAGGGTTATCAGCACCATGAGGAGCAGGGATCGAGTCAGACTCTAGGGACTCCACCGTTGGCTGTGAGTAAAGGCCAGAGAGTGACGAAGGAGCCCGATAGATTGACTTATAGCCTTTTTCGGGCTAAAAAGCCCAAGAAGAAGTAGGGTACTAGACTTCTTATGTAATATTATTAGACTTGTATTTTTTTTTCCTTTTTGTTCATTTCTGTTTTTTTTTTCCTTTTGTTATGACTTGTTTTATTTTTTTTTACCTTTTGTTATGAATTGTAGTATTTTGTTATGACTTGTATTAATATTCTTAATAGTTTGATTTCACCTGCATCGTAAATACAATAATTAATATTTATAAAACACATCTTCGCCGATCAAATCGAAACACATCTTTAAACTTTCTTATATTTTTTTTCATAATTAATAGTTGCTTCATCTTAAGTGTTGGTAAATTATAATAAATATTTAATAAAATTTATTCCTATTTTAAGCTTTTTTCTTATATTAAAACCATCATAATTAATAAAAATAATTTGTAAATTAAATTACATCTAATTAAATCCATAAAATTACGTCATTATCATTATTGAAAATTTTTCATATAAAATTATTTTTTAAAATAATGATTACATTTTTAATAAAAATTTTTAATATAATCATTATTAAATTTTTTTATATAATGTTCTGAAAATTAAATACATTATAATAACTATATCATACTTTTAATAATTTATATTTAGTATAGCTCTATTTAATTTAATGAGTATCAATTATAATAATATATTCTTATTCAAAATTTAATTTTCGTATTATTAAAATTATCAATATAATTTTCCTCTTTATAGCTCTATTCAAAATTTAATGATTAACAGTTATAATTTTAAAATTTTCTGTTACCATTATTCAAATTTAATAATTTTTTGAAGTCAATTTCCCTATAACGTTTTAAACTAGTCAAATTAATCATATTTTTATGCCTATTTTCTTTTTTATTTAAATAAAAAAAATTTTTAATTGATTTCGCGCTTTGAAACGCGAACTCATATTTATTCAAGTTAATTAATTAGGATTAAGTTAAATTAATTACGTCTTCTTATTTTTCGCGTTTCTAAAACGCGAAAAACATATTTTATCGTTTTGAATACGCGAATTTTGATTTTTAGCGTTCTCAAAACGCGAATTTTGTTTTTTTCGCGTTTCTGAAGCGCGAGAAAGCTATTTTTGGCTACAATTTAAACCCTAAGCTTATTTTGTTCTTCATTTTTTTTTTCAGCTATTAATAAGTAAATTTTCCGTATTTTATCATGATATAGAAGCGGCACATCCGGGGACACAATCCTCAAATTAACCTATTTATCCTTGAATTTAGCATGGCAGCCTACTATTATTATTATTATTATTATTATTATTATTATTATTATTATTATTATTATTAACGTAGCAGTTGAGCAGGGAAACATGCACTAGAAAGCTTTGTAGGTATATTTCTCAGAACCATCGTAGACCATCAGCTGGAAGTGCAACCAATGCAACTGTGTTAAGGTAGACTAAATGCAACTTCGGGTAAATACTAATGGAGGACCATACATTCAGTTACGGTCATGCAAAATGGACGCAATCGTGCAATTTGTTAGCATCAGGTTTTTTGCTTGTATTAATTCCACCTAATTTTAACCGTTTTGGTTGGCTATTCTTGAAGGCCCATATAAGGTCACATGTGGTTTCACCTTAAAAACAATTGGCAATGAAGAAAATAACACATGTAGTATATATGTTGATTAAGAAGGCTTCCCAACTCCAATGTGGCTCCAATGTGGGACAAGTGTCGTTCATTTGTTTTTCCAAGTTCAAAGGGGATTTATCAGCTATGTACAAAAGACATGAAAGTATTCAATTCAGAATATGAAAAATGAAGTTTGTCTAAAGCATAGTTGTCTCTTCCTTCCTAGTCTTGTCAATCATTGTAGTCTTACTACTTTTGGAATCCAACATATTAGAGAAATTTTGGTGTACCTTCGCAGATAAGGTGAAAGTAGATTATATTCACGAACCGCATAAATCCTTTTTTTGTGTCATGATTTTTTTTTTAATTTTTGGATTTATCTTTACTGAATCATTTTTGGAGCTATTAAACTGAAGTAAAACTTTGATTCCAAAATAACTTAAAACACCATCTCCATCTCCCCGAATATCCAACGCCTGCACTCTACTTCAAAGTCTCATTTTTTAGGAATCCCTTTCCTTATCTGCGCTTTGCAGAATTGGACAAATAATCTACTGCTCTCTCCACTTTTTAATATTTCTTCTTAAAGAATTTATCAAAATCATGAAAAAATTAATTAATGTAATTAAAATACAAAATATCCTTATTATTATATACACATGTCATCACATACTCATCGTAAAGACTATTTAATTTTTAATACAATGGTTCGTAAAAAGTTGTGAAATATACCTTGATTTTTGAACACGAAATATATGTAAAAAAAAAAATTCACTAAACTTTAGAACAACATATAAAAGAGAATGGAGGGGGTACATATTTCGCATGTGTTAGTGGTTGGGGGTCGTTCGAAGCCATTTTGGCTTTTCATTTGTTTTCAGTGTACTATAATATTACTATTTTATTTTTCTGATAATTCTGGTCATCTTTTCTTGATAAATAACCCAAGTCATCATTTGCAGCGTGTATGCCTTACTACCCTCACTCTAAAGTTAGGATTTCAGAACTCTTTTATCACAGCAGCCGCTCGCACTACAACTTTCATTGCTCCAACTCTCTTTGGCGACTCGTATTCTATCGTTACTCTTCCTCTATCTTCTTGTCTTCCTGAGTTCCCATGAATTCTAAACCCTGGCAACTCTTCATTCTGGACAAAGAGCTTCACGATGTCTTTTTGGGTACCCCAAGTGCGAATTGGAGATCTCTCCTCTGCACAAAAGTTGTATCTTAATAAACTTCCTTCAATCCAAAAAAATTCAGCCATAAGATGGATCGTGGATTGGTTTACAGCTTCAGCCCCCTTGAGTTCCTTGCTAAATAACCTCTACCTCGGCGGTTTCCATGGGTGGAGGCCCCCTTGGATTGGTTTCGATCCTATTGAGTTGCTATGGCCTCCACCCATTTCGACACATAATCTACTGCGACTAGAATATAATGATTGCTAAAAGAAGATGGAAACGGCCCCATAAAATCTATACCCCAAACATCAAAAAGCTCAACCTCCAAAATACCAGTCAAAGGCATCTCATTACGCTTGGAAATGTTACCCATTCTTTGTCATCTATCACATTTCTCCACAAACTTTCTGGCATCTTTATACATGCTTGGCCAATAGAATCCTGACTGTCAAACCTTAGGTGAAGTTTTGGATGAACTAAAATGGCTTCCACACTCTAAAGAATGACAATGTGTAAGTATATCTTCGAACTCATCCTCTGGCACACATCTTCTAACAATCCCATCAGCACAAAACTTGAATAGTAGTGGCTCCTCCAATAAATAATGCTCTACTTCCCATAAAAACTTCTTCTTCTGCTGATAGCTGAATTCATGGGGAATAACATCACTTACTAGATAGTTGATCAAATCTGCATACCATGGAACCGAAGAGAGAGCTTAAATTCTTTCATCAAGAAATTCTTCATTGATTGGAAGCTCTACTTCTTCTGCTGGCACTACAATTCAAGATAGGTGATTAGCTACTGCATTCTCAAGCCCTTTCTTATCCTTAATTTCCAAATCAAATTCCTGCAATAACAACACCCAACGAATAAGTCTTGGCTTAGCATCTTTTTTAGCCAACAAATACTTTATTGTTGCATGGTCAGTGTAAACTATAACTTTTGAACCAACTAGATATGATCTGAATTTATCAAAAGCAAAAACAACAGCAAGCAATTCTTTCTCAGTAGTTGCATAATTCATTTGAGCATCATTCATCAATTTACTAGCATATAAAATAACATGCAATTTCTTATTCTTTCTTTGACCAAGAACTGCGCCTAAAGCATAATCGCTGGCATCATACATCAACTCAAAAGGTAAACTCCAATCAGGTGCTGCTAAAATAGGGGCTGTGACTAGAGCTTTCTTCAAGGCATTGAAAGAATTTAAACAAGCATCAGTAAACTCAAAAGTCACATCTTTTTTCAACAAATTGCACAAAGGTTTAGTAATCTTGGAAAAATTTTTAATAAAATGACGATAAAATCCAGCATGTCCAAGTTTAGCACGATCCACCTCAATACCTTTGCAAGAAATCTTATGCCCCAAAACTATACCTTCTTGCATCATAAAATGACACTTCTCCCAATTCAAAACAAGGTTACTCTCTTCACAACGTTGCAAAACCAATGAGAGATTATCAAGACAATTATCAAAAGAAAATCAAAATACAGAAAAATCATCCATAAACACTTCCATTATCTTCTCTATGAAATCAGAAAATATGGCCATCATACAACGTTGAAAAGTAGCAGGAACATTACACAAACCAAATGGCATCCTACGAAATGCAAAAGTACCATACGGACATGTAAAAGTAGTATTTTCTTGATCTTCAGGAGCAATAGGAATTTGATTATAACCAGAATATCCATCAAGAAAACAATAGAATTTGTGCCCAACAAGTCTTTTAAGAATTTGCTCAAGAAAAGGTAAAGGAAAATGATCTTTCCTTGTAGCACTATTCAGTTTCCTATAATCAATGCAAACTCTCCATCTAGTTACAGTCCTAGTGGGAATCAATTCATTATTTTCATTTGCAACCACAGTCATCCCACCCTTCTTAGGCACAAATTGAACAGGACTAATCCACACACTATCAGAAATAACAAAAATGATACCAGCATCTAACCATTTAAGAATCTCATTTCTCACTACTTCTTTTATGTGAGGATTTAACCTTCTTTGATTTTCAACCACATGTTTATGATTATCTTCTATTAAAATCCTATGCATGCAAACAGAAGGGCTAATTCCCTTAATATCAGAAATTGTCCAACCAATAGCTTTCTTTCTCAATTTTAGAACAGGCAACAATTTCTCAAGTTGTGCATCAATCAAGAGAGAATTCACAATCACAGGAAAAGTATTATTCTCACCTAAAAATGCATACCTGAGATGTGCAGGAAGTCGTTTCAACTCAAGA